AATCAGCAACCACGACCTGATACCGTGTGCGCAGCAACTTCCACCACGAAGTGTCAACTGCCAAGAAGCCCAGGACCGATGTCCCCATCCTATCTCTACTCTACCACTAGCCTAGACCGACCTTGACCGGACTGACTGACCGACCGGTACCGTTTCTGTTTCGGCCTCTAGGGCCTCTCCCTACCCGGCTATAGGCTATAGGACCGTCTATCAGCGTAGGCCCAGAGGGCCTGACTGTCCTAGGGGTAGCCCGGGTCTGCTATTCGCAGTTAGGGTAGCTGTAGGAAAATTGAATTAGTACTGGACCCATATTTCTATATTTTACAGATATGTCCCTCACGGATTTTCCCTACAGACAGGTCTCTCGATTAGTCCTAAGCCAAACAAAATTACGAATCTGTCCCTAACTATGGTACAGCCTCGTCAAAGTGAGGCTACAGGCAACCTGGAACCAGCAAGTCATTGCAGACCTACCCTCCCCCGGAGCGAGGACCTCCGAGCTAGGGGCGTAGGCGTGCAGAGTGTCGAAGGGGTTCTCCCTTCTGCGCAGCCTCATATTTGAGGATAACCGACTTTGCTGTTTTCAGAAGTTCCTTGCGAGTGAACCAGCGATCCTCAGTATGGGGCTGGTAGAGAAACTTCAAAAGGTACTCCCTATCCGGGCCTGTACCATACTCATCCTCAACTTTCTCCACCTCATATCCCTTCCCAGGGATCGGGGGACCAAATTGAGGAGGCCTGTCTGGAAATGCATCAGCTGGGACAAATGGCAACAGCTTGGATGCATGAAAGACAGGGTAGGTTTGTAGATGCAGGGGGACATCCACATGATAAGATGGCCCGAAAGGGTCAGCTCCCACTGTGTCTAAAACCTGCCATAGACCCATGTAACGCGGCAACAGCTTGGGTGAAATGTCCTCCTCCCGTGATAACTCAGAACTGAGTACCCAGACCCAGTCACCAGCGCGGATAGGGGACGGTCGACGATGCTTGTTAGCCTGCTGGATCATAGCCTTTTGGGCTTTGAGCAGGTTAACTCTTGGCTCGTTCGATATCCCTCTGGTACTGTCTGGTGAACTCTGCAGTCCCAGGAGTCAGTCTGGGGGTAGCCTTATCGATGATGTCATCGAGAGGCTGCCGTGGCTCACGACCCCAGTGCAATCGATAAGGGGTGAATCCTGCGGAGGAGTGTACATACGTGTTGTACACTAGCTGTGCCCGTCCTAGATGGAGATCCCAATCCTACTGATCAGGGATGATCACAGGACGCAGCAACTGGAAAAGAACCTGGTTCATCACTTCAGCCTGCCCATTGGCTTTAGGATGACGACCAGATGTCATATCCAGTTTGGAATGAAGGTAGTCCTTGCAATAGGACTGCCATTCATTGCTGCAGAACCGCGGATCTCTATCGCTGACAATAGAGGTGGGTGGTCCATGATGAGTGACCCACCGGTCAGCAAAGGCCGCCTGCACGGCCGGGACTCTGGCTTCCTCTGGCAAAGGAATAAACTCTGCGTACTTGGAGAACCTGTCCACACACACCATGACCTGACACATACCACGAGGAGTAGTCCTCCCCAAGTCAGTGAAGTCGATGGACACTGACTGTGCTGGTGCCTTAGGTATGGGAAGTGGCTGTAGCAGGGCCAAGGGGAGGTCGACGAACGACCTTGTTCCTTTGGCACAACTCACAGGTTTCAACATATTGCAGCAGGTCTTTCCTCATTTCTGGCCAGAAGAACCGCTGCGACAAGGCTGCCAACGACTTTAAGGCCCCAAAGTGGCCGCGAGCATCATGACACTCAGACATCATGAGTGTTCTTAGCTGGCGGTCCTGAGGGATACACAGACGTTCCTCTCCTCTGCTGCAAGTGTACAGCAAACCTGAGACCAGAATATATCCTGGTTCAGAGGCAGGATCAGTCTATAGGTTCCTAACGATCGGGCCAAAAGTCGGGTCCTGTGGCAATAGCTGGGCAATGGTTGTGACAGGTACTCTCCCCAAAGGTACGAGTAGAGGAGATCATGCAGAGAGTGTCAAGCCTACGAGATAGGGCGTCTACCACACGATTGTAGCAACCCTTCTTGTGCTTTAGTTCAAAGTCAAAGAGATCAATGAACTGAATATAGCGCGCGAGCTTGTCATTCAGTTCCCCTTGGGTCTTCATCCACTGTAAGGTGGAGTGATTTGAATAGATCTGGAAGTGCCTGCTCATGAGGAAATGCTTCCAATGCTTTAGCGCTATATTCAGTAGTTAGTACGAAGGGCAGCATAAAGGAAATGCCTTTGACACTAGAGCATAAAGCTCTTTCTCGTACGTGGAATCTTGCAGCTTCTTGACTTTGATCTTCTTACTCATGTACTCAACTGGCTGCAGACCATGCCCACCATCCTGCTGAAGTACTGCCCCAACCCCATACTGGCTAGCATCAGTAGTTAGTACGAAGGGCAGGGTAGGGTCAGGTAGCTTCAGAACAGGTGCACGCATCAAGGCCTCCTTGAGGCGCGTGAAAGCCTGGTTACAGTCTGATGTCCAAAAAAAGTGGGTGTCTTTCTTTGTAAGGTCAATCAGGGGTGCAACAACAGCAGAAGTTCTTGACAAACTTCCTGTAGTAAGATGCCAGACCCTGGAATGACCGGACATCCCGTACTGTGGTAGGTTGTGGCCAGTCCTGAATAGCAGCAACCTTTGTTGCTTCAGGAGCCAACCCTTCCCCAGAGATTACATGTCCCAGATAAGTCACAGAAGTCACTCCAAAGGAGGACTTTTCTCTGTTGATCTTATACCGGGCCTCATGTAGTGCCCGGAGAACCAAAGCCAGATGTTGCACATCCTCCTCGACAGATCGACTGAATACCAGGATATCATCTAGGTATACAACTACAAACCTGTCCAGGTGAGGCCAGAGTATGCGATGCATCTCTGTCTGGAATGTGCTAGGGGCATTGCAAAGACCGAAAGGCATGACCAAGTCTTCATAGGTGTCGTATCTGGTCTTGAAGGCAATCTTGTGGACATCGCCTTCAGCCATCTCAATCTGGTGGTAGCCAGATTTCAGATCGATCTTGCTAAAGATTGTGCAACCCTGCACCACGTCCAACAGATCATCAATCCTACGAAGGGGCTCTGTAGACTTCCTAGTGATTTTGTTGAGACCCTTGTAGTCCACACATATCCTGACTTCTCCATTCCCCTTTGGGACAAAGAGAACTGGAGCCCCAAATTCAGATGTGTTGGGTCTGATCCAACCCTTGCTGGTCAGGGTCTCAAGCTGTCTCCTGAGCTCATCGAGTTCAGCAGGTGACATCCTGTAGATACGGCCCTTGGGAGGGACCGCACCTCGCAGGAGCTCAATCCTATGCTGGGTCTGCCTATGGACAAGTCCAGTAGGCTCCTGCATCAGATCTGGATACCGGTCCAAAACCTGCTGAATCGGTGAGGGACAAGGAGCAACATCCACACCAGTGTGTTTCACATATGCAACAAGCAGACGTGTGTGGGCAGTCTGGCGAGAGAGCTGAAAGAACTCGTGTGCCCTCGTACAATAGCAACTACTGACTGGGTGGTACAAATCAGCCAGGACACAAGGCTGATAGTCCCCTCTACAGTCAGGGAGCTCTACCCTAGGGATCTGCCAGTCGATCCTAGTGTTAGTGGCCTCTAGCCACTGCATGGAGAACACAAGATCAAAGGGCACGTTGGGAAACACATAGAAGTTCAGGCGCTGCTTGACCTTCTCCTGCTTGTCAAAGATAACTGGTTGGTTCTTAATAGCAGAGGTAATCTGGACTGTGGACGAGTCCCCAATACGGACTTCCAATTGCTGCTGCAACTTCACCAATCTCCCATCCAGATGCAGCTTGCTGACAGCCTTGGGAGAGATGAAGTTCCGCGTAGCCCCACAGTCTAACAGGCCTTTGATCCTGGCTCCCAGGATGGAGGGTCGCACCAAGATGAGGTCTGATTTATGCTTTTTCTTTTCCTGCAAGGACAGGAAAAGATCAGCAAA